GGTAGTCAGTATTTTAATCAGGGCTTTCCAGATAACGGGATCTTTTCCTTCTGTTCTGGAGCATACCCAAACCAGGGGCTTCGGGGCGCCATGATGAGCTCTGAGGGCATCAGATGGGCTGGGGTGGGGCAGATATCCATGGGGCTGATTCCAGGGGCAGGCTGTGGTCCGGGTGGCAAGAAGGTGGGCACAGAGGGGCCATTTCGGAGCAGCCCCTGGTTGCAAGACCCAAGACACAGCTTCGAGGGTTAGCCTCAGAATGGGGAGCTCGGGGGGGCTGGAGGGGCGCGGACGGACTCGGCGGAGGGCTTGGCCGTGGGGGTGGGACCAGCCCCCCTCACGCGCCCGCAGCCTGGCGCTGACCCCCAGCCGCCCCCAGCTAGCGCTGGAGCAGCGCTGCCGAGACCTGCGCGCGCGGGGCCGGCGCCTGGAGGAGACGCTGCCGAGGCGCATCGGCTCCGAGGAGCAGCGCGAGGTGCTCAGCCTGCTGTGCCGCGTGCACGAGCTCGAGGTGGAGAACACCGAGATGCAGTCGCACGCGCTGCTCCGGGACGGCGCGCTCCGCCACCGCCGCGAGGCCGTGCGCCGCCTGGAGCAGCACCGCAGCCTCTGCGACCAGATCATCCAAGGCCAGCGGCAGATCATCGACGGTAGGCCCCGCGCGGCCGAGCCACCCAGGGGCCCCCCCTTGACCCGCGGAGGGTCCCAGGGCACGCGCTGAGCCCTGGCCCTGCCCCCTGCAGACTACAACCTGGCCGTCCCGCAGCACCTGGAGGAGCTATATGAAGTGTACCTGCGGGAGCTGGAGGAGGGCAGCCTGGAGCAGGCCACCATCATGGACCGGGTGGCCTCTAGGGCCCTGCAGGTGGGAGCGTGGGCAAGCCTGGGCCTGGGTCTGAGCACCTGTACTGATGGAGGGGCTGATGCCCTAGGCAGTGCCTGCGGGGAGCTGGGGTGGGGATGGGACCAGGCTGGCCGGCACCCCAGGGAGTCAGCTCCCCTTCCTTCTTACCCCACCCGAGGAAGGCGCCTGTCCCAGGGCATTCTTCTCTGGCACTCGTGTATCCCGTGTGAGCCAGAACACAAACCCACTGCTCTCCCCAAACTCCTAAGCCAGGTTACAGCCCTGGCCACCTAGTGTGCCTTTCACCCTGTGCTGTCCCCTGGTCCGGGACAAGTCTTCTGACTGCCCTGCCACCCCCCGCACCCTTCCCTCCCCAGGACAGCTCATTGCCCAAAATTACCCCAGGAGGAACCACGCTGACACCGGAGTCTGAGCCGGAGAGTGTGAAGACGCTGAGGTCCGAAGTGCAGCGCCTGCAGAGCAGTGTCCTCCCTCCCCTCAGCACGGAGAGGTGAGGCCAGAGACCACCTCCAGCCAGTCCTGCCAGCCTGAGCCGCCACCTGCTTCACCGTGTCCCAGGGATGCCAACCCAGATGAGGGTTGATTGGGGAAGATGGGGCAGGAATGAGAAAGGGAGGAGACGGCGAGTCTGGAGCCAGGACGCCTGGCTTCTCCCTTCACACAAATAGCTCTCCCCTGGGGTGGGGCTGGGACCTCAGTGGGACCAGCCAGGTCAGTAGCCATCCATCCTCCTCTGCCAACCTCAGTGAAGCCAACCGCGTGTTCAAAGCCAGTCCCCGAGCCTGGCAGGTGAAGAGCTCCTCTGTGCTCACCCCACCCCCCATCCAGATCGGCGGCCTGGTGACCCAGGAGGTGAGCACTGAGCACCGCTCGCCCTGGGTTCCACTGCTGGGGGGGCGAGGGCACAGGGTAGACACCCAGGGGTTGGGAGGGAGCCCTCCCCAAATGGCCCTCACCCCTGAGGCCCCGCTGTCTCTGCTGAGTAAGACCTGGGGTCTAGTGCTGGGTCTAATGCCTTTGTCTTCTCAACCACTTCCCCCTGCAGGCCCCCACTCAGGACAGCCTGGTCAGCCTGAGCAGCCGGATCAACTCTTCCCCCGACAGCAGCGAGAATCTGTCGGAGATCCCCTTGTCCTACAAAGGTGTGCCCCTGCCAGCCCTGTCAGCGTGAGCCCAGCATCATCTAAACTGTTCCGGGCCACCCAGTCCATGCCCTCCTGCACTGCTGAATGCACCCACACCTTTGGCGCTACCCATTCTATAAAGAGACTCCAGTGCCCAGAGAGGATTAACCACCTGCTCAAGGACGCACGGAGAGCTGAGGGCACAATCAGAAGTCAGAATGGGGAACACATGACACTTAAGATCCTGTTCCCCCTTCCCACCCAGTAATAATTCTAAGAGCAAATACAGACGGCATCCCTACCCCCAAGCCCATTTTCTCAGTTAATCCTCATAATAAACCTATGGGGTTAGTTTCTCCATTCCCAATTTACAGAGGGAGGTAAGGCTCAAAAACTTGCCCCAAGTTTCTTAAATAGCAGGCAAGTGGGAGGGCTGGAATTGGGACCCAGGCCTTCTGGCTCTGCTCATTTCCTGCCTTGGCAGGAGATGGGGTGTGGGAGGTAAGGGAGGGGGAGGAATGTATGGTCTTGACCCCTACATTGGGTGCTCCTTCTGTCCCTCTACAGAGAGGAAGGAGATCCTGACCGGCACCAAGTGCATCTCAGTGAAGGCTGCTCGGCGGCGCTCGCGGGCTTTGGGCACCGAGGGGCGCCACCTGCTGGCACCTGCCGGGGAGAGCAGCAGCCTGTCTCTGCACTTGCCGACCAAGGCTGACGATTCGCAGCCACTGGGCCCTCTGGCCTGCAAGCGGCCGCCAAGTCCCACGCTGCAGCATGCTGCCAGTGAGGATAACCTGTCTAGCAGCACAGGCGAGGCCCCATCCCAGGCAGTCGGGCATGGGGGCGATGGCGCCGGGCCCTGGATGCGTGGCCAGAAGAAAAGCCCGGGCAAGAAACGGGAAGAGTCACTGGAGGCCAAGAAGAGGAAGCGGCGGTCCCGCTCCTTTGAGGTCACGGGGCAAGGGGTGAGGCAGAAGACAGGGGATGGGGTGTCTGCACTCCTTCATTGTGGATGGGGGTCTGGGGGCTCCTGCACCACCCTCCATGCCTCTGTCCCCCAGGCTGGCATAAGGGGCACACAGGGCTGGCATATGGGACAGATCCCTGTAGCAGATCCCATACAGCTCTGACTCACCTCACTGTTCTCCAACCAACACAGCTCTCCCGCCCCAAGACACACCTCCTGGGGCCCCGTCCCATGGAGAGCATCTCGGACCATAGGGTGCCATTGTGTGGACACCCAGCACCTGGTATCCGGCATCTGGGAAAGGTCATGCTGCCTTTGGCCAAGGTCAAACTCCCTCCTAGCCAGAGCACAGGTCAGTACCAGCAAGGGAGGGAATGGGAAGGGGGGGCCCTTGGCCAGCCCAGGGAGGAGGCATGTTGAGCTCCCTCCACCTAGGGCTACCCACTACTGGAAACCAGGTCCTCACAGAATATTTGTGGGACTGGCATCTTGGGGTTGTGCCCTTAGGGAGTTCAAGGCCACTGGGTGAACAGAGAGGGAGTGGGAGGAATTCCTAAGCCCCTGCTCCCGGCCCTTCCCCTGTTGCAGGGCCTGGGGACTCCTCACCCCTCGCTGTTCCGTCCAACCCAGCTGGTATTTCCCGACGGGCTGCCCGTGGGCCCCGCCTGGCTCACAGCACAAGCACCCATGGCAAAGACATACGCTTCGGGCATACCTGAGGGGCCCTGCCTGGAACAGCCCTCCTGCCCCCAAGACTGGATGGGGTGTAGCAGAAAATGGGAGATGGAGGCTGGGTAGAGGTGGGTCACCTGCGAGCCGGAGCTCAGGATCTCAGAAGGCTGGGGCCCACGAGACCCAGGAATTATGAGGGTGCCTGCCCAACACCTCCATGCTTTCAGTGCCACTGGGGAAGGTAGGTGAACTCAGGAGGCATGGCCAGGATGACAGGACTTCCTGGCCTCCCAGCCCTGGATAGAACCCTGTTGCCAAAACCCTGTAGAGACCTGTGGCTGGACTCGGCCTTGGAGATGGGAGCGGGAAGGAAGCTGTTCATGGGACGGGGCCCCTGGGTCTACATCTGGGGTAAGGGCATCCCGGATGGTTGGGGAAGGAGCCAACAGTCACTTCACATCCTATGGTTGGGGCAGAGGAGGGAATCTGGTTTTGTTACTTGGTAGTGTAACAATAAAATGCCATTTGGGTCTTGATGGTTATGTTGGAAACTAGACCTTGTCTGGAATGTGGGATGGCCGAGACTGATTAAGAGGCAAGCCAACGCCTTCCTCTTCCCTCCCCGACTCCCCATCTCCCTCTGGTTACACTGAAGCAACCTACAAATACCTGGGGGAGAGGGGTTTTTCTCTAGACCGTCCCCAGGAAGGGTGGGCCTGGCAAGGTCTGTTCATGCCCCATCCCACCAGCCTTCACACCTGCCTGGGCTCCCTCCCATGGGAGGTCAGAGACTTGGGGTGGCTCAGACCATAAAAAGCCTAATTACCCGAATGGGGGTGGGAGGGTGATACCCTCTGGAAGTCAGGGCTCAGAAATTTCCCAGCTAAGTAAGCCTCTTGGCTTCAAGGTTGGAAAACTCCAGCAAGGGGTCCTGGAGTCCCCCCAGTTTTCCCAGGCTGGCCCATTAGGTTGCTCTTACCCGCCCTGTTCCATGTGGGGGTGGGGGAATCCTCGGGAAAAGCTAATGAAAGATAAGGGACCGCCACACCTGTGGGACCCTCCTGGGGCTGTTTCTACCTGGGAGCTGGGTGGTTCAAGCATCCCCTCGGCTCTCTGAGCATCAGTTTATTCAACCAAGAGCGCGGCCTTCAAGGCAGCGGCGAAATCAGCTCCTGAAACCAGGCACCTGCTCTACCACCCCTCACCTGGCCTCCACCCCAGCTCCAAGGCCACCGGCACCTGGCCACCCAGGGGGCCAGTGTAGGCACCTCCAATCGCCACACACACACCCCCTCAGACCCCGGGGGGCCACCCACCCATGGCAGGCGTCTGTTTCCCACTCCTGAGGTGTCCCCGCCCCGGCCCCGCTTGGCTACTTGGGGGTCCGGATGAGGGTGTGGTAGACCGGCTTGACGATGAGGTGGAGGTGCAGGGCGTTCTCCACCAGGTACTCGGAGTTGCGCCGCTGCAGGTCGGCGTGCGCCAGGAAGTCGCCCGCCTCCTCGCTGCTCTGGTGGAAGCTGTAGGCGTGGCGGACCAGCAGGCGGCCGTGCTGGCGCGCCCCCACCAGCACGGTCTTCTGGAAGCTCACGCCCGCGGCGTCGCCGCCGCTGGTGGCCGGCGTGACCACCAGGCGCGGCCGGCCGTCCTCCGGGCGCGCGGCGGGCAGCGCGGTGCCCGCGGTGTCCGCGTAGACGGGCCGCAGGCTGACAGGCAGCCAGCGCGGCGAGAAGAGCACGTTCCACGTGACCCGGCGGCCCGCGTCGTGGCCGCTCGGGCCCAGCTGCGTCTGGAAGCTGGTGCTGCGGTCGTCCCGGGCCGGGTTGTTGATGACCCACGGGGCGCCCCAGGCGGGCGCGAGGTAGTTGCGGGGCAGGAAGGCGCTGCCGTTGACGTCGAAGAACTTGGCGAAGTGCAGCGGCGAGGCGGCGTGGAACTGGTAGGCCTGCAGCAGCAGGTCGGCCACCGCCTCGCCGTGGCGCGCGAGGGCCGCCGAGCGCGCCTGAAGCTGGAAGAGCTGCGCGGGCGGGATCATGGGGTAGCGGATGGCTCGCAGCGCGCGCTCGGCCACGGCGGGGGGTGGCCGGGTGCGGCCCAGCCACGCCTCGAGCGCGTGGAACAGCTCCAGCTCGTCCTGCAGCACCAGGTCCGAGCGCGGCAGGAGCTGCGCCAGCAGCTCGGGGCTCACAGCGCCCCACTCTGCGCTCGCTGCCACGGCCGACAGGTTCCAGGCCAGGAACTGTAAGCAGCTCTGGCGCAGGGCTTCGTCCCCGGTGCTCACCGCGTAGTGGTACCAGCCCACCGCCGGGCCCGCGCCGCCCGCCAGGTGCGTGCGCATGTAGTCGGCCACGCCGCGCTGCAGGGAGGCCACGCCGTACTTGGTGGCCAGCCTGTGCAGGGGGATGGCCTGGGCCAACAGCACGGTCAGCTCCCCGCAGTAGAGGTACCTGCGGGAGGGGCGCGCAGAGATGGGGCAGGGGCAGGGCGGGGCCAGCTCTGCCCCCACCCCAGACACGCACACACCCCAAGGGGCACCCGGCCTTGGGTGGGAGAGCATTGTGGTCAGGGGTGCAAGCGGCGCAGTGGGCCCCGAGGCTTCCTGTCTTAGTCTCAAGGACCGTTTCTTGTGGGGACGGGGAAACAGCATGTAGTTACTGAGCATCTACTAGGCACGGAGGTTTAGGCTATAAAACAAACGAGGCTCCTGCCATTGTGGGCTTTATAACCCTGGGCTCAGATCCATACCGTACTTGCAAGTGTGGGCAAGTCATTTAACTTCACTGAACCTTATGCCAATCATCGGGGAAACGGGGTATCAGGGTCACTGTGACAGCTGGGGGAGAGTGAACTGGACTTGCTAGGAAGCAGGCCATCGAAACAGGTTAATTCCCTCCACCCTCCTCCCCTTCTTGCCAGCTCATCTTTCTCACTGGATCTTTTCTATTGTGGGTCTTGCTCACTCACTCCCTGTCCCCATCTGCTCCCATCCCTCGGCTCACCCTTCCTGCCAGGCCCCTACAGGCACACGCTCCATGGGAGTGTGGCAGGAGCTGCCCATAGCTGCACCAACACCCAGGTCTCCCCTTTCCCCGGCATTTTAGCCCCACTATTTGCTTCTGGGAATAAAGATGGGTCTCGGCCTCCCTTATAGTGGGCATGGCCATGTGACTAAATTCTAGCCAATCAGATGTCAGCAGAGGCCCCGGGTGGGGTTGTGGGAAGGCTGCTTTGATAGATCTGACGCCTGGGGAGAAGACCCCGTGCCCTTCTGTGTTAACGCTCTTCCTACTGCCTGGTATTCTGCAGCCTTCTTGTCTACGCCGTTCAAACAGGGGCGCCTGGGTGGCTCAGTCAGTTAAGCGTCTGCTTTCAGCTCAGGTCACGATCCCAGGGTCCGGGGATGGAGCCCATGTCCGGCTCCCAGGGAGCCTGCTTCTCTCTCTGCCCCTCCCTCTGGCTCTGCTCTCTCTCTCAAATAAATATATAAAAATCTTTAATAAACAAACAAACTGTGAAAACCGGGTTCCTCTCTCCGACGATAGTGTGAATGGTGCTCCAGCCGGTGGGCTGGGAGCAGGGGACAGGAGAGAGAGCTGCCTTACCCCCCCCCCGCCCCCGTGCCGCCCCCCGGCCCGGCGGCTCAGAAACCTGGCCAGACACTAAAGCCACAGGGAGGCTTTAAAATAAAAAAAAATAATAATAAAATAAAAAATCACTGCTGGGCCCAACCCCAGACCCGAAGCGGACGATCCAGAGCGGGGTTCGGGAATCTGCAAGTTTTGCAAAGCCCTCAAGACCAGGCCTGGAAACAGAGCTTGCAGACAAGGGCAGGGAGTCACGCGACAGGGCAGTGGGAGAAGGGATGAATATAAGGCGGTGGCACGGTCATCCTGATGACCTGCGGGAGGGAATGGACACAATGTCCTCTGAGGCGCCAGCGCTTCTGGGAGCCGGGGAGCCGAGGAGCCAGGGCCTGGGAAAGGGAGGGAGGCGCCCCCTAATCCTTGCCCACCTGATGAACTTGTCGAAGACGGCAGCACAGTCCCGGGGCTCCTGAAGCGCCACCTCGCTCTGGTTCCTCAGCAGCTCCCGGAACAGCTCACTGTGCAGGCCGAGCAGCAGGCGGTGCGTGTGGAAGACGCGGACCTCGTCGGTACCCACCGCCTGCACCCGCAGAACCACGTCGCTGGCGTTGCCCTGCCTTAGCAGCTCCTGCAAGCGCTGGAGCAGCGTCTGGGAGTGGTTGATGGGGGTGCCCGTGGCCTCGCTGCCCACATCGGCTCTCTGAGCTGCGGCAGGAGGGAACGCGGCACGACTGAGAAGGCCCCCCGGGCCCAGGGAAGGTGCCAGCCAGGGGTGCAGAGGGACCAGCTGGAGACGCTGCGCTTGGGTGGGGGCAGAGGCCGCGTGCATTCCTGTGTGTGCCCGTGGAGCACGCAGATGCATGCTTGTGTGTGTGTGTGTGTGTGTGTGTGCGCGCGCGCGTGCATGCACAAGCACTTCCCGGGTGGGGAAGCTTGTCAGCCTGACCCTGAGCAGCGCCCCCCCGAGAGGATGCTCTTGCAAGGGGCCTAGACTCCTGGCGAGGAGAGATCATGAACCAGTGTGGGACAGAATGCCCCAGAACCGGTGTCCATGACGCCAGAGAGCCAGGCAAGGGTTGAGGCACCCCACCCCTCTCACCTCCTGAGACAAGCACCAACCAGCTCCTTTGATGGGCGTTAAGTGCACAAATAAGCACTCTAGTTTGCGACTATGATGAATAAGGGAAGTGAGAGTCAGGGTAGGGCTACTGGAGGGACAGAAATCAGGGATGGCTTCCTGAGGAAGTGACGAGAAGGAGCCAGCCAGAGGACGGGCGCCAGCCCTGCACAGGCCCTTAAAAAGGATGGGCTGGCAGCGATGGGAGCAGCGAGAGGGTCAGGGAGGGCCAGAGCACTGACTGGGAGGGGTGAGGCCCAGCGTGAGAGGAGGGCTGCGGGCAGGAGAAGCTGTCTCCTGGCCCAGCTGCCCTCCTGGGTCCTGACCTCTGAGACTTAAGTCCACTGGCAGCAGGTGGCTGGTGGGGGACCAGAGAAAACACAGAGGGTGAGCTGGTGTTGGAAGGGGACTCTCAGGGCACCTGTGTGTCGAGCCTGCCAGGCTGGCCACCCTGGGCCCTTCTCTTGTGTTTCCAGGGAATGCTGTGAGGGTCAGATGGGGACACGCACTCTGTTACAGAAAACTCAGGGACCGAAAAGGCTGCCAACAGCTTCCCCAAACAGAGAACAGTGTGAGGAGCCTCGGAGGGAGACAAGGTGGGTGTCTGACAGCAAACCATGAGCACCTGCCCCGACACACGCACACGCACACGCACACGTGCACACGAACGCACAGGCCCATGTGGACTCCCAGAGAGAAGGCTCACATGAGAGCAGAGCATCTGTGTATATAAGAGACAGGGAGACTGAGGGAGAAGGGGAGGGTGAGAGGTGGGTGGGCAGTTAATTTCCCAGCCCTCCCCTCCCGAAGCTGTCACTTGACAGCATTCCACCCGGCTGCCAGGGTGCCTGGGCCCACCTGTCTGGGACAATGCACAATGGACGGTAGAAAGGTCTTCTTGTCTGTAAGAGCCCCGCCTGCCTCCCCAGCCCTTATTCCCCCAGGCAGGCGGCCCTCCTCCGTGGAGCTGGACACCGCCCCCTCCCGGCCTCCTGCGGCTAGGGCCGAAAGGTCCTGCCTCTCTTCCCTGCCCTCCACCCCCACCCCACCCACTGCCCGCTCACCTGCTCGAGAGGCCAGCCCCACCAAGGTCAGGATGGCCCAGAAGCTGGCCCAGGACCCAGGCTTGGCAGAGCCCAAGCGAAGCATCTTTGTGCCCCGCCCCTGAGCTCCCCGGAGGGACAGCGAAGCCCAGACCACTGTGCTCACATCCCTCCTCCTTATATACGATTCAGCACAAGGGGATGGCACCCCCCCTTCCCGGCCAGCTTCCCTCCCCCCACCCAGCCTCTGCTGAGGATTGGTGGAAACTGGCCCCAGCTGTTGCCCAGGCAACCACTTAAGCCAGAGAGCGGCAGCCTGGGGCTATTGTGCTGCCTGCAGGCCCCCGAGGGGGACAGATCCGGCACCCTCCCCCACGTCTTCCACCACCCAGCAGAGCTAGTCGTTTCTCTCCTGGGAGATTTTAGGCTCTCCACAGGGCAGGCCAGGGGCTCCAGGACCTCTGGCAGCTGCTGGCCCGGAGGGTCCCCAGTCCCCATCCCCAGCCCCCGGCCCAGTGTCCGTCCTGGCACAGAGCGCTCTTGGCAGCATCTTGGCTAAAGTGCCATGGTGAGCGGGCTACAAAGGAAGGGTCTGGAAGAGGGGAGAGGAGGAGCGGCTCAGGCCCCCATCCCTCCCCTTCTTCCATTTTGGGGTGGGCTAGCTCTTCAGAGAGCCGGGCAAGGGTCTCGAATAGGGGCCCACTGGACAACTGGTATCATTTCCTCTTCCTTGTCGAACATGTTCCTGGCCTGCTCTGGGGAGGGTGATGGGCCTTTAGGGAGGTCCCCTGGGGACTGTGACCATCATCCCCCAGGATCAATGTGAACCAAGATGGCAGGGCTGGGCCCGGAGCAGTTACACACTGCGTCGTGCCCCTCTGAGTGGGAGGCCTTCTGCCCAGAGCAGGGCTGGCCCCCTTGCAAGAGGTTGGCCCTCAGCAGACAGCCCACCCCCCCCTTCCCAACCAGCACAAATCT